GGGGTTGCGAGTTCTGGGAGGAAGACCCCAGGGGTGAAGTGCCATCCTTATCACGTCCTATCAAGGCTACAGAGGGCGAACCTGACCTGCACTGTCCATGCTGACCGGGATCACCTGGCTGAGGTGCCCGTGTCAGGTTTCCCTGCAGTACAGCCACTCTCCCCTCCCCGCTGCACCCTGGGGATGTCCGTCACTGCGTGTACTTGAGGAATGAGGAGTTCCACCCCATTGCCTTGAAGTTGGAGCATTTACATAAGTTATTTGGAATTCTTCTGCATGGAAGACTTGTTCTTTCCTGGTACTTATTTATTCAGTTATTTAGATCAGAATGGACTCATGGATAGTTATTTTATATTTTTAGCTATAACCCAATACTGCTGTATTTTTTTTGCTCAGATTTTTCCATCTTTGGCCTTTGGGAGCTTTTTCGGTTGGTTCGTGTGTCCTTGTGACATACCCCCATTGTTACCGGGACTGTTCTCCTTTTTTTGTTGGAACACTTCTTTCTGTTCTGGCTCTACAAGCTTTTCTTGTGTGTTTACTGCCCAGTCCCCAAGTCAGCCAACCCTGCAGGGTACCCTGGTTCCTTGCATTGAGAGTGGGGCTAGAAGCCAGGATCTGGGCTCTGGGTCTTTACTATGGCGATGTCATTGATTCTGGGCGCTCTCAGCTGGCAGAGCAGGGAGATGCCCATGTATATGACAAACTGTGCATGCACACTGAGGTATTAATAGTTCTGTCCAGGGCCATCGGTATCTGCATTGAACTTGAGTTCATGCTGATGCCTGCAACTCTCACCCAGGACCACATGGCTCATTCTGGCTTCCCCCTTTGCTTAGCTGCAAACTCCCACACCCATCGTGAAAACCCTGCTCCCACCTTTACCATCCATTTACCTAATTATTCAATTCTGTAGGATCAGAATTGTCAGTACCTTCCTCCATGGGGTCACCTTTATCACCCGACGTGCAGCACTCACAGGGACTGTATTTTGTGTTTAGTTTCGCAAACTCCACTCATTCCTAAAGTTAGATGTGCTGGCTCCTTTCCCCCTGCCTCCTTCAGGGAGGTCGTTTTATACATACGCAATCCAGTTAGAGCCTGAATTTCACGTTCTAAATTTCATCCTGGATCCCTTGACTTCCTAAAAGATGTTTTAAGGCTTGCACATGTGAAGGTTCTCTCTCTGTGCTGGAGACTTCTTTGGGTTTTGACAAGTTCCTGATGTTATATATTCGCCACGATAGTGTCATACAGAGTAGTTTTACTGCCCCTAAAAACAAACTCCCCTGTGTTTCCCCCAGTCAGCCTTGCTCGTATTCCACCTGCACGGCAGCCACCGATGCTTTGACCTTCTCTGTATTTTTGCCTTTCCTAGAATGTCGTCTAATCGGAATCATATAACGTATAGATTTTCCAGACTGGCTTCTTTCATTTCCCAATGTGCTTTTAAAATTCATTCTTGTCTTTTTTGTGTGTGTCTTGATAGCTCATTTCTTTGCAAACAGTGTTCCATATTACAGATGTACTAACATTTGTTTATTCCCTTATTAAGGGAGGTTATTGGTCACTTCCGACTTTTGGTGACTTTGAATAAAAACTGCAGCTTTTTGTTTTGTTTTATGACTACACATTTTCAGATTATTTGGGTGAACACCTACACAGATTATTTGGCTGAACACCTAGACAATTGCTGAGTTGTATGGTAAGACTATGTTTAGCTGTGTAAGAAAAGGCCAACCTGTCTTACAAAGTAGCTGAACCATTTTATACCCTACTGGCAACGAACGAGGGTGTCTCTTGTCCTGTATCCTTACCAGCCACTGGTAATGTCCATTTTTTGGATATTAGCTAATCTAATGTATATGCCTTGGCATCTTCTGATTTTAATTCCCTAATGGAAAGTGGTGGTGAATATTTTTTCCATAAGCGTATTTACCACCTGTATAGCTTCTTGGTGAGGTGTGTCTTCAGATCTTTAGGTCATTTTTAAACTGTGTTGTTTTCTTATTATATTTTAAGAGTTCTTTGTATATTCTGGGCACAAAATCTTGGTCAGATAATATATCTTGCAAAATATTTTCACAGTATTTGGTTTGTCTTCTAGTTCTCTTAACAGTGTCCTCCAAAGAAGAGACATTTTTAGTTTTAGTAACATCCAATTTCCTGGATTGTATTAGCGTTTGTTTGTTTATTTGAGACCGAGTCTCGCTTTGTTGCTCTTGGTAGAGTGCTGTGGCATCATAGCTCACAGCAACTTCAAACTTGTGAGTTCAAACGATCTTCTTGCCTTAGCCTTCCAAGCAGCTGGGACTACAGGCTCCAGCCACAGCCCCCAGCTATTTTTAGAGGCTAGTTTTAGAGATGGGGGTTTTGCTGTTGCTCAGGCTAGTGTCGAACTCCTGAGCTCAGGTGATCCACCTGCCTTGGCCTCTCAGAGTGCTAGGATTACAGGTGTGAGCTGCTGTGCCCAGCCTGGATCCTGTCTTTCACTAATACCATGTTGTCTTGACAACTGTGGCTTTATACTCAGCCATTGGCACCAGGCAGTATACGTTCTCCAACTTTGTTCTTACTCTTCAGTATCATTTTGGCTATCCTAGGTCTCCTATAAAAAGTTTAGAATGCGTTTGCCAATGTGCCCAAAATAACCTGCTGGGATTTTTTGACTGAAATTATGTTGAATCTGTAGATCAAATTGGGAAGAATTGATGTCTTAATAATAATGAGTCTTCTAATTAATGAAGACATTCGTTTAAATGTCCTTTGATTATTTTTTTCTATCGGTTTTGTGAGTTTCTGGATATAGGTCTTTTGTGTATTTTATTAGGTATTTATACCTAAGCGTTTCATAATTTGGGCGTTGTCATAGTCTTCTAAATTGACATAGAATAATTGTATATAATTTTGAGGTACATGTGATATTTCAATTCTTGTACACACAATGTGCAGTGATCAAATCAGGATAACTGGGACATACGGCACGTCAAACATTTAGTTTTTTCTTTGTGTGAGAACACTCTAATTCTTCTCTTGTAGCTATTTTGAAATATACAATAAATTATCATTCATTATTACTGTTACGTGTTACTCTACTATCGAATACTGGAACTTAGTATTTGTTTTTTAAATGTCAAATTCTAATTGTCCATGCTAGTATGTGTGTAAATAACTGACTTTTGTCTATTAAGCTTGTATTCCTGTGACCTTGCTGTGCTTGCTTGGTAGTTCCAGGAGTGGCTGGTTTGTGTCTCTTTTTTCTTTCAATTCTTTGGTATTTTCTAAATAGCTAGTCTTGTCATCTGTGGAAAAAATTCATTTTATTTCTTCCTTCCCAATCTCAATAGCCTTTGATTTCCTCTTTTTTTTAAATCTTTCTGCATCACCTGGGACTTCCAATGTGATATTGAATGGGAAACAGAGCATCCTTTTCTTATTCCAGATCTTAAGGGGACAGCATACAGTTTCTCACCGTTAAGTGTGATGCCAGCTGTAGGGGTTTTATCTGTGTTCTTTATCAAGTTGAAGAAGTTCCCCACTACTGGATTTTTGTCAGATACTTTTTTTTGCATCAATTGATAGGGTCATAGGATTTTTATTTTTTCAGCCTCTCAATATTGTAGATTACCTTGATTTATTGTCACATGTTGAAGCAACTCTGTGTACCTGTTTGTAGCACGTAATTGTCTTGATGCATCATTGGCTTCAAATATTAATTTTATGGAGGGTGTTTGCATCTGTGCTCATGAGAGGTCTTGGTATGTAGTTTTGTCTTCTCGTAGTTATCTCACTTTGGTATTAAGGGAATGCTGGCCTCATGCAATGAACTAGGAAATGTTCCTCTGATTCTGGAGCAGATTGCGGAGAATGTGTGTTATTTCCTCTATAAATGTCTGATATAATTCATTCAGGCCCGGTGCTTTTGTTTTTGGAAGATAATTATTGATTCAGTTTCTTTAATAGACACAGGTTTATTCAGATGATTTATTTCTCCTTGTAGATATTTTGGAAGTTTGTGTCTTTTAAGGAATTGGCCTCAAATAAGCGGGCAGAGCAGTCCATCATATTTCCTTGTTACCCTTTGAATGTCCATAAGATGGGTAGTGATGACCCTGGTTTCATTTCTGGTATTGGCAATTTGTATCTTCTCCCTCGCTCTTTCTTTTTATTTTTGGCTGGGAGGTATTTTCAAAATATACATTAGAGCCTCTTCCCAGACTTGCTTCAGGTGGAGGTTAGGGGGTCCTACGTAGGTTTGGGGATGCTTTCTTTAGAACATCCAGGTGCTCCTGATATGTCTCTCTGGGATGCTGGAGATGGGGGGCCACAGTAAAGTGAGATCATTTTGTTACTGGTTTTTAAACCTTGGGCACTCTCTAGCCATTTATGAGTACTACTATGTAAAACAGAAAAATGCAAAGATGTTGTAATTGATTGGGGAGTCGGGGGAGACGGAGGACCCTGCTCACTTGGTACTCACCCTTTTCATCTCAGGGCAGCCCCCAAAGAAGCACCAGGGGCCCAGAGCCCCCTGTCTGGTTCTCATGTTGAATGGGTTGATGTCACAGAGTGTGTTAGGACCATGTGTAGCCCTTAGTACAGGTTGGATAAAGGCTCCCTGCTGGTATTGGTCTGGTTAATAATCCCCTATCAGTTGTAGGTGACCACTGGTGGGGAGGGCTGCCCCCCGGGGGATCACCAGGGATTCCCTGATGCCGAGGACTCCGAGCAGATGCTGGACACTGCAGGCTGATGTGTGGGAGTGGGGGGTGACGGACTGCACAGGGCTTTCCCAGAGAGCCTTCTGGATCCTCATGTGCTTCTGGAAACTTGGGAGTTAAGCCTCGACCCATTATCCCTACCCCAGAACATAGGGTGGCACGGGGCAGGGGAGCATCCAAGCCACACGAGAGCCCTCCCAGTGGTCATCTGAGCATTCTCCCAGCGTGCTCGCGTGTGGCCCAGACCAGGTTCTCACTCTGTCTCTCTGGTTTTGCAAGGCTCTGCCCTGACCAACGGGGGACTGAACCTGCACAGCTCTGTGAAGCGGAAGCTGGAAGCAGAGAAGGATTATGTCTTTGACAAGAGGCTCAGGTACAGTGTCCGCCAGAACGAAAGCAACTGTCGGTTTCGAGACATCGTCGTGCGGAAGGAAGAGGGGTTCACGCACATCCTGCTGTCCAGTCAGACCTCGGATAACAACGCGCTGACCCCCGAGGTAAGGCTGGGCTGTGGGCTTGGATGGGGTTCCTTCATGCAGGAGGTGGGTTGGCTTTCTTTCCCCTCCTACTGGCGTGCGTGAACGCTGACTGCCGGGCACAACCCGCCAGTCACTAACCTGCTTTGTCCCATTAATGAGGTTCTCTTATTTTACAAATGAAGCCCATACCAAGCACGGAGAGATTCATCAAACCAGTCATGGTCACAGACTTGGGGTGTAGACCCAGAGTCCAAACATCAGACCTTGTTTGACTGGTCAAGGTCAAGCTTGACCTTCCTTTAGATGGAATTAACACTCACTCAGTTCATGTGTACAGAGGGTACCCAAAATATGTGTACACATTTTAAGAAAGAACTGCCTTAAAATTGTAATGCTCAAGTTACAATTACTTAGGCAATTATAAGAGGTGCTCAAAAGTGACCCGTATTCATCTTTTGTTATTGTATATATCGAGTATTACAATTTTAATGCAGGCTTTTTCTTTCTTAAAACACATCTACATTTTTTGGCACCCTCTGTGTATATATTTATCAAAACAAATTCACAGACTGTAAATTTCACTCTTCTAAAATATACAGTTCGATGGTTTTTACTATATTCACGGGGTTGTACCAACATCACCGTTTTCTAATTCCAGAACATCTTTGTCACCCCAAGAAGAAGCCCCATACCCATTAAACAGCTTCTTCCACTCTCCTTTCCCCAGTCCCCCAGCAGCCGCTCATCTACGTGTGCTATGGGGGTTGTCTGCTCTGCACAGTGACCACAAATAGAATCATACAAGTCGGGGCGGCCTTCCGTGTCCAGTTCCTTTCAGGTAGCACGCTTCCCGGGTTGGGCGATGCCAGGGCAGGCATCTGTATTTCCTTCCTTTTTGTGGGTGCGTAATACTCCATCCTATGGAGAGACCACATTTTGTGTATCAGTTGTTCAATTCGGTGGACATTTGTGTTGTTTCCACTTTTGATTTTTACGACTAACATCGCCGCACACATTTGCGTACAGGTTTTTACGTGACTGTAGATTTTCAGGTTTCTTGGATGTATTCCTAATTCCTAATATAATTTTCTTGGGCCTATTCCAGTGTTTGGAATCGCTGGGTCTGATGGTAATTCTTTATGTAGATTATCATGGCGCTCCCAAACCGGTTTCCGCAATGACGATACCATTTTCCATTCCCAGCAGCAGCAGCCCGCGGGGCCTCCAGTCCACTGCACCTAGCACGAGTGTGTCAGGAGCTTAGCTTTGGGCCCTGGCTCTGTCAGAAAGCCCACAGTCGGGCAGGGAAGACCACTTGTATGCCCTTGCCAGCGCCTGCCTGTGTTTTTCACTGTGGCCACCCACATTCCTGGGTGTGAAGTGCTGTCTCATTGTGGGTTTGATTTGCATTTTCCTAGTGACAATAAGGTTGAGCATTTTCACGTAGGTAGTGGCCATTTGTCTCTCTTCTTTGTCCCTCTCCTTTGCCTATTTTTAAGATCAGGTCATTCTTCTCTCTATTGGTGAGTTTTAAGCATTCGTTATAGATTCTGGACATGAAGCCTTTATCAGATATATGATTTAAAATTCATTTTTTTTCTCATTCTGATGGGGGACTTTTAATTTTCTTGATCACATCCTTTGCCATATAAAAATTTTAAATTTTAATGAAGTTCAATGTATCTGCTTTTTTCTACCTTACTTTTTAAAATGTTACTCCTTTCTTGGGTGAACAAAATAGGGAAATAATGAATACTTCACGCAGTTTGTCAGTAACATCACTCAAAGCACAGGGTACATGAGGGGAGCAGGGACGAGACTCTTGATGGCACAGAGGTGGGAAAACACCTTTAATCATCCTCTGCTCACAGCCCCACCTGGGACAGGGCCACAGAGTGGTAAACGACAACCACGGTGACGAGGCCAGTGAGCTCTTGGTGCTTGGTATTTGCTCTTTATTTCACATCATCCTGACCCCCCTCTTCTGATGTAGGTCATGCTTCATATTGTCTAGGTAAGAAAATTTAGGCTTACAGAACTCACCAGGGCTAGAGTCTCACAGCTCAACCCATGTATTTAAAGCAATATCCTGTCCTCTCTCCTTCATCAGTGGAGGTGTGGAGGTTAACTGCAAGGGTGTGTTTGGGGGGACACAGAGAAGGGGTGTCCACTCCCCCAGATTGGGATCACCGGATGGCCTGGCATTGCCCCGTCTATCCAGTGCCCTTGAAGAGGCCCAGGAAGTAGGGTGGGGCAGGACACGCAGTGTTCACGTGTCTTATCATTAAGGTTTGTATAGATTCTGATTCTTTCATGGGGCCTGGCAGTCTGGAAGAGCTGACACATGGTGTGGGGAGAGCCTTGGGGTTTGTGGGGCTGGTGGTTTCTTATTGCTCTTCCCACCAGCATGGTGTTTTGGGGACCTGTCCCTCCTTCTCTGCCTTCAGCAGAAGCATGCCTTGGGTTCTCTGCTGTGCAGACCTGTGGATTCCAAAAAGTCCAGAGCCTACGCTCCTCTCCACTCCCTTGATGTGGCTCTTCTTACATTTATACACCTGGAAACTGCATCATTTGAAGCTCATCATGAAATGTTTGCATGAGACCAGGTCTTCTGGGATTTTTTTTTCTGCTTCACTACTTTTTTGAAACATGCTTTAAAAAGGCACAGAATTTTCCTCCCATACATCAATTAAATGTGATGTTTCCCAGTTCATTCTGTCCTTGGAGCAGGCTTGTACATTAACCGTGGACAGGTCATCTCAGCGTGTTGTGCCCTCCTGATTTGACTGATTTACAGCACACAGGGTGTCACCTCCTGGGCTGCGGGCTTGGCTAATTAGGGTTCCATTCCTAATCAGCTTGTGTCAGGAAGGAAAAGAGTACAAGCTATTGATCTGGCATTTTCAACTGTCTCAACAACCAAAGCAGATTGACTACCTGGGCAAGCTGGCTGACTGGGTGAAGTTGTCCCCAAAGAAAACTTCTGCTGAAACAAAGAGGCGGTAACAGAGCAGGAGTGCAGGTTTAGAGTCTAGCAGATCTGGGTTCCAATCCTGCCTCCACCAACTTCTGGCACCATGGGCAGTTACTTTGCCTCTCCGAGCTTCCTCATTTATAGAAAACAGCCGCTGTCCTCCTGTGAGATGAGAGATAACGCATGCAGGGAGACCCACAGAGGACCTGGCATACAGGAGGCATTCTGTAAATGTTCCTGTCATCGTTAGGATGAACCAGAGGCCATTTAATGGCCACAGGCAGACCCAGCCTGGCTCGTTAACAGAGGATCTGGAAGGAAACCACTTTCAAGGTTGTAATTTGAATTCTTTTTCTAGTTGTGTCTATGACACTGGTTGGACTGGCCTCCCAGGCAGGAATTCATACATTATTGGATGCGTTAACTAGACTCTGAGGCTAGCGGGTGTGTCTTAATCTCCAGGAGATGAACACAAATGCCCCTGAAGGGAAGAGCCAGCCTTGCAGATTGCACAGGGTCTTGGTGATTGAAAGCTCCTCTCCTCCCCATTGGGAGAGGACTCTGAGCCCCGCACCGGGGCTTGTGGCCCCACGGCACCACCACCATCCCAGGCCACAGCAGGCACAGGAGTCCCCTTCCTGTCACCCCTCTTATCATGACTGCATACAACCTGTCCCAAGGCCTGTTTGTTAACTGTCATTTTTGAATAGCTCACTAATAGGGTTCCTTCTCTGTATGTCCGTCCTAGCAGAGTCCAAGCTAAGAGGCTGCTTAGTGTGGACGATCATAGCAGCCTACTGATAAGTCTATATACCCTCATGCTTCCTGTCCTGGAATCCAGGCAGGCAGAATGATCTGCTGGAAATGCAAGTCTAATCAACTCACCCCAAACACACATGCAGAGTGCAGACCTCTGATGGCACCAGATCACTCTGGTTAACGGTTGGAATCCTCAGTGTGCAGCCTGACCTCATTGGGTTCCTATATCTCACCTCCTCTTGCAGTCTAGCCCGCAGCTTGCTTTCATGCTTACACCTGCCACAGGGCCTTTGCACGTACCCATCCCTCTGACTGGAATGATGCTCCTCCTCCTTGTTCGCATAACTCTTGCTCTTCCTTCAGGTTCCAGCTCAGCCATCACTTCAGCAGGCAAGTTTTCCCTCACCTTTCTGACTGGTCCCAGGTCTCTCTTACGGGCCTCCCTGGCACCATGCATGCCTTCCTTCTGGAACTTACCACCATTGTTAGTCTATAGTTGTCTGTATAGTAATTTGTTAACTGTCTGATTTCCCCTCCTCCCCCAACGTTAGACTACAAAGTTCTTGAAGGGGTAAAGACTGCCATTCTATCAATTCAGAAAACATTAGTTAATTCTTTTACATAAAAGGTTTTGGACCAGATGCCACAAGGGATACACACCAGAGAAGTATATTTTAGCTCTTAAGGGATTGTATTAGTTATCTATGGTTGTGTAACAAATTGCTCTAAACTTACTGTTTTAAAGCAACAGATATTTATTCTCTTTTCCTACACGAAGGATCAATTATTTGACTGTGGTGTAGTGAACAGGTGGCAGAAGGGCCAGAGAGGCTGTGCTCATGGTGGAAGAGCCGTATTCCAATTTAGATTTCCTGTCTCCAAAGCCTGCACCCTTTCAGACAGGCCACACAGCAATGAGTCACCCTGAATGCCTAGGCACCCACAAGAGATAGTGGGATCGGTTTGGACAGTGTCGGCTGCAGGACTGTGATTGGAGGGGGGGTCAGGACCAGGGGTTGGCTCATCTGGTGCCCCAAGTTCAGGTCCTGGGATGGTGCTTTTTCCTCTGCGTCTAGCATGTGTGTGTCAGGAGCTTAGCTTTGGGCCCTGGCTCTGTCATAAAGTCTGCAGTCTGGCAGGGAAGACCACTGCTCCTGTACCATAGCCTACTGTTGATAGAAAGCCCTGATATGCTGAGAGGCAGCCTGACCCTCAGTGAAGCACGTGGACCCCAGAGTATGACTTTCTGAGTCCAAGTCCAGCTCCACCATGTACCTGCAAACCACTCCCACTCACTCACTGTGCTTTGATTTCTTCATTAATAAGATGGGACTTGAACCATATAACTTCCCCCATAAGGCTAAGTGTGTTCATATCTTAATGCAGCACTTCTCAAACCTGAACATGCATAGGACTCCCCGGGGTGGAGGGTCCTGTGAAAGTACAGTCTCATTCTGTAGTTTAGGGCTGGGGCCTGGGAATCTGCATTTCTAACCAGCTCCCGGGGGAGGCAGTTCCGCTGTTCTGAAGGCCACACCCTGAGCACAGAGGGGTGGAAGTGCTCAGGCAGGTCCTGACCTGCAGCACATGTTCTGGAGCTCTGGGTGACCAGGTGGCATCTTATAGGTCTGTGTGCCAGTCCGTCTGTGTATACCTTGGCTGCTGGCTGGTTTGACCTGTGAGGAAGCTGAGTTTTGTCTCCAGAGAGACCAGGAGAGGCTACTGATGTCACCCAAGATCCCAAGACAGTGTGCTATGGAAGTGGGGCTTGTGGGTGTGGCCCTAGAGTCCCAAGTCGACCTCCAGGAACCCCCACCATCATCATGCTGCATTATCTCAGTGGGAAACTCCCCGCCAGCCCGTCTCTTAGCGTTGGCTCTGCCACTTACTCTTTGTGTCACCCTGAGATAGCCACCTCTCTCTCTGAACCTTGCCTCCCCCTTTATAAAACGGAGCCAGTAATAACGCCCAGCTCACCTGGGGAGGTGTTGGGCTCTAGAACTCACAGATGTGTGCTCCGTGAATTTCAGGCTAGTCCAAAAATGTTCCCTTTGTTGGAGGATATAGGCAGCCCAACTATGCTATTGAAGGGTGTGAGCATGATCCCGCCTTCATAGCAGGCCGACTTTTTAGTCTCCTGGACAGTTTTTGTAGGTGTCTCCGGAGAGGGCCCTGTAAAGGCTTCTGGGCAGTGAGCTGGCAGCCTGGCTGCGTTTCTCCGGAACCTAGGGGAAAGGGTTACAAGAGAGGTACTGTGTAATTGGGTGGGCAGTTACTGGGCAATCTGCTGTACCCCAGACCCCGTGCTGGGCTCCAGGAATACAGTGGGTCACAAGAGAGCTGTTACTTTGGTTATAAGATCATAATCAAACAGTGGTGAACATGTAAAAGGCAGGAAAAAAACCAAGTAGATAAAATAGATAAGACAATCGATTGTATGATAGATGAAGAAACCAAAGGGGTGACTGAGCCAGGGATAAGGGGGCATGGGTACCTGTTCTGCATGGGGTAGGCCACAGGAGGACCCCGAGAGGAGGAGGGAGAGCAGTACTTGCTAGGGAAGTGTGGGAATATGGGCGTACTGTAGGCAGGGCACTCAAGGAGGGTTAAGGGGTCAATGGAGTAGGGGGCTCTGAGCTCTCCTACCAATGCCCCATTTGTCTGTTGTTCCCTGGGCAGGTCACCTGCTCTGGAGCTGACTGCTGTCCTCTCCTGTGCGTGGGAAGCCAGGGCTAGACAGTGGGGATTTGCATCGGCAAAGTGCAAAGTCCAGGTGTTTTGGGAAGTAAGACCAGGGTTTGAATCTGCCTCCAACACTTACCAACTTTGTGGCCTTGAACTAGTGTCCTCAGCTCTCCAGGCAGCTGTTGCCTGCTCTGTGGACAGCAGTAAGAATAGCGCCCAATCCCTGCTGGTGTTGGATGGCTGGAGCCTACCTAGCAGGGTCTGAAGTAGGCGTTCATGGCTGAGTAGCACTCATGAGTCTTATCGCTTACTCAGGGCACCTGGATCTGTCTCCCAAATTCTGTCCATCCCCAATCCCACCTGCCCAACACGGAGCACTAAAAATGTTCAAGGTGCACATGGAGCAGGTGCATGCCAGAGATAAGATGACCTTGCCACATGACGCTGGGGTGGCCAGCACAGGCCTTCCATGTCAGATGTCACCAGTGGTGGCATGAGGAGGAGGAACAAAACATTCTGTATCCAGAACTCCCCATGCCTCACCAGGATGTGAACTTGGGGGTGGCTACAGCCTAACCTTTCTTTTTGTTTATTCTTCACTCTACCCTTTGAAAGTGGGTGCTGGGATCCCTCATTATAGGTGAGTAAATGGAGCGTAACCAGCACGGCTCAGGTCCCATGGCAAGTCAGTTGCAGAGCCAGAATTTGGACCAGGCTCGTGGAACTCCAGTAGGTTTTGGAACCCAGGTCTGGTTCTGACGTCAAAGCCCATACCCTACGTGCCACCTGCCAGCGAGCATAGCTGAGCTAAGGATGAGCAAGGGTAGAACGAAACCGAGCCGTGTAGGGATGGCCTGTGTCCCTCACCTGGCTGTGCACAGGGCCATTGTTATACACCTTATAAAGGGTAAACAGGCAAGGGCCAGAAGATTTGCAGAGATTTACCAGGGGTTGAGCGACCTGGGATTTGCAGCTGGTGACCACACCCGTGTCCTGATGGGTGCTCTTCTGCCCACTTTGGGGATAGTGCTGGTGAGCTGTGGCTTTGATAAGCGTCCCTCTCCCTGGTCTGGACGTGCATTTGTGTTCAGGGGAGGCATCCTGCATAGGCAAAACCAGGTTTGCTCACCTCTCCCCTGGCAGATCCAGGTTTGCTCACCTCTCCCCCCAGGGGTCAGGCCTCTGACCGGCTTGCAGCCCTGGGGTTCCAGAATAGTCGCTTAACCTCCTACAAATTCATCTCCGCCTGCAGATCATGAAAGAAGTCCGCCGAGCACTTTGCAATGCAGCCACAGACAACAGCAAGCTACTGCTGCTCAGCGCAGTGGGCAGCGTGTTCTGCAGTGGCCTGGATTACTCCTACCTACTCGGCCGACTGTCCAGCGACCGGCGGAAGGAGAGCACGCGGATCGCCGAAGCCATCAGGTGAGTGCAGATGCTGTGGGGTCCTGCTCGGGGTGCCCAGGTGAAAACATGGGCTGCTTAGTTAGAATTTGAATTTCAGATGGTGAAGAATTTTATTTTTAGCGTAAGTTTATTTCATGTAATATTTGGGACTTATTTAAATTAACAAAATTGTTGCTTACTTATCTGAAATGCAGATTTTAATTGGGTATCCTGCATTTTATCTAAAACCCTAGTTCTGCCAAAATTAGGAATGCTTTGCTTGGGTTAGATCCTACTTTCATTCTTTGGATCAAAAAGAGATTTCATTTCTCATGAAGGCCTGTGTCTGGCAGGCCCAGGCCTTACCCACACTCCTCATACCCTCTTTCCAGTCTTTTCCATGTCCAGGAGCTGCTGTGGCTTAGAAGTGCGGAATTTCTGTTTACAGACCCAATGGGGTGGGGTCTATGCCCACTCTTTCTTACTGTTTTTAGGGCAAAAGTCATTCTGGAGTGACTTTTGGGACGCAGCAGGGTAGTTATTTCCCGTTCTTTACAGGTATGTCAGAGGCGTGTGATTTTAGCTTCTGGACCGTGTGGCAGGTTTATAGCTGTCACTCACTGTTCACCTAGAAGGGGCTTAGGAAACAGACAAGAGTCAGGGTTGAGGAATGGTCCCCGGTCTCATGAGAAGAACACTTACTCCATGGGGTATCATGGAGCCTCAGGCCACATGTCAGGGACCTCCTGGGGCCTCCAGACTCACTGCTCTGTGAAAATCCACGTAGAGGCAGATTCCTGTGTGCCTGTGGGGGGCTCTGAGGGGACACAGCATCTCTAAGAGGTGACACCAGGATGCTGTTGCATGTGGAATCCTGAGTTCCTCTGCAGCGTGAAGCATCCACTGGATTCTCTGCTTCAAATGCCTCTGTGTGTCTTGCTGCAAACCTCACTGGAAGAGACACGAGGAACCTGAGCGCTGCTGGGTGAAAAGGCATCACAGCTGTGCCACACGGGGCTCTGTGGGTGGAGACCAGGCCTGGGGTATCCATGATGTGGTTTGCACCTTGCTTGGTCCCAGCTGTTTCTTCTTGCTGTTGCCTTTTCCCGTGTTGAGGGGATCAGCAGGACCCCCTGTGTGTTTTTCTTCTCATGGGGCCACCAGATTCCACCCCAGAAAACCAAGTACCCATTTCTGTGACCCATGGAAAGCCCTGGTCAAGGTCTTTACCTGTTTTATGAATTTTAGTGGAGGCATCAGCTTATTTCCAGAACCCCAGAGGCTGCTGTCTAACATAGCCCCTGGTTTTCTCTCCGTACACACAGCTCAGGAGCATGCAGACCCCTTGGAGTGGGTTCAGTTACGGCTTCCCCCCAAATAGGTTGAAGTCCTCAGGCCTGGAATCTGTGCACATGATCTTAGTTTTGGAAAAAGTATCTTTGCAGATAGAATTAAGTTCAGAGTCCCAAAATGAGATCATCCTGGATTAGAGCAGTCTTTAAATCCAGAGAGCACTTTCTTTAGAAGAAGACAGAGTGATGTGACAGAAGAAGGAGAGGATAGAGTGACATAGCTGTGAGCCAAGGAGCATCAAGGAGGGTTGGGAACCATGGTAACTGGGAGAGAGGGCTGGGTTGCCTCCTCCCTCAGAGCCTCCAGAAGGAACCAACCTTCCTGGTACCCTTTTTCTTTTGAGACAAGAGTCTTGCTGTCACCCTCACTAGAGTGCAGGGGTTTTTTTGTTTGTTTTGTTTTTGTAGAGACAGAGTCTCACTTTATTGTTCTCGGTAGAGTGCCCTGACGTCACATAGCTCACAGCAACCTCCAGCTCCTGGGCTTAGGCAATTCTCTTGTCTCAGCCTCCTGAGTAGCTGGGACTACAGGTGTCCGCTGCAACACCCAGCTATTTTTTTGTTGCAGTTTGGCCGGGGCCAGGTTTGAACCCACCACCCTCGGTATGTGGGGCCAGCACCCTACCCACTGAGCCACAGGCGCTACCCTGAGTGCAGTTGTTTTATTTACAGCTCTTAGCAACCTCAAATGCCTAGGCTCAAGTGACCTCCTGCCTCAGCCTCCTGACTAGCTGGGATTACAGGTGCTCGCTACCACCACCACTCCTGGCTAATTTTTCTATTAACATTTTTAATAGAGATGGGGTCTCACTCTTGCTCAGGCTAATCTTGAACTTCTGAGCTCAAGGGATCCTCCCACCTCAGCCTCCTAGAGTGGTGGGATTATAGGCATGAACTACCGTGCCCAGCCCCTGCATCTTGATTTTTGGACTCCTGCTCTCTAGAACTATGAGAGAATGAATTTCTATTATTTTAAGCCCTAAGTATGTGGTACTTGTTCCAGAGTCCTAGGAAACTAATACAGCCCCCAGGGATATTATCAGCAGTTCAGAAAGCTGTATCTTTTTGGGCTCTCCTCTTGGGCAGGAGTCCATCCTGGCCTTTGTTCCAGCATCCCAGTGGCCACTCTCCAGGACCCATCCTGAAAAGAGGCTGCTTTCCCCTGAAGTCACCAGGGGTGACATAGTGACTTATTCAAGCGCAGTATTCAAGAAGGCAGCATGGGCTAGTGGCTGTCCACATGGTGTTTGGAAGCTGCTTGAGTTCAAAGCCACCTCTGTGCTTGCTGGTGACATGGCCTTAGGCATGTCACTGGTCTCTCAGCACCTATTAGTTCATCTGGAAAATGGGAACCATCAAAATGGTCGCACTAGCCTCAGCCGTGGGTTATTAGGCCAGAGAGTAGTCAGATGTCCCGTGTGAAATGCTTGGGTTGTTCTTGGTAACAATAAGCACTTAGGATAAGAGGAAAGAGTTGTTATTGTTGTTGTTATCACTGCCGTGATATTCCAGCCATGAATTCCAGCTAAGCTGACCCTGACCACAGAGTGGGCTCCTAGAGACACTTTTGGGGGCCCCAACGTGGCAGTCACCGTGGATGTCTGGTTCTCACCAGTGGGCCCCTCCCTGGCTGACTTGGCTCTGCACTTTGGCAGTGGCAGGACTGCCTTGTGTGGCTCTGATTAAAGAGAGCAGGTAACTAATTGGGTCACAAAAGATATGCCAATTGCTCCAGGGGAAACACAGACATCACTGCAAGGAGATTCTTGTTTCTGAGTCTCCCTTAGGCTGGGAGAATGGGTCACAGATCATTTTAAGAACCCAGTGGATGAATTACCTGGGATAAAGCAGTGGGGACTGCGTGTCAGGCACGGTGCTGGGGTGCTGCACAGACTATCTCCTCTACTTATTCAGCCCCCCTATCTGGGGAGGCGTCATTGGCTCCTCCATTTGACAGAGGGAGTAAATGGGGCTGCAGACTTGCCCAGATCTTACCAATGAGTTTAGGAAGATCGAGTTAAGACTTGGCCCGAGTCCTTTAGGTTCTGAAGTTCCTGATCCTTCTGTCCTGACAGAACAGCCCAGCAGCGTGGTCAGGCAGAAACCCCTGGGCTCAGGTTGAGCAGAGGCGGCTGTGAGGACTAGGTCAGCTGGTGGCGGTGGATGCATGCAACCATCCCGTAGTCAGGATCAGATACCAGAGCCGCAGGGCCTGTAATGCAATATCCTGTTTGCTGTCTGGCTCCTGGTGATAGAGATCTACCGCCTGGGGTGAGAGAAGGATGGGAGGGGGTGATCTGCCATCCCATTTTATATCAAGGAAATGAAAATGAGAGACAGATGAGAGTGAAACAGGAGGGGCTGGGGTGGAGGGTGGGAGCTCTGCACACTTGGTCCCCTCTGCCCTCTTAGGGAATGGGCCCTTGATGCCCTTGCACAGAGCTCAGGTTGGAAAACACGGAGCCAAAGACTCTGGGGTCCTGAATGGGAAGGCTCTGGAAGGTCGTAAGGACTCTGGTTCCTTCTACAGTCCATTCCTAAAGGGCTGTCATGTGGTTGACAGAGCTCAGGTCTGGGAATAACTGAGAGGCCCATGTGAGGTGCACAGCAGAAGGGCTGTCTTGATGGGCACTGATCCTTTCATATGAAATGCATTGACAAAGGCAGAATGGTACATGCTCAGGATGATATGAAGGGAATTCAGCACCAAGTGGAAGAAGTGACTCCAGGAGTCTTAAAGTCCCTCTTATCTCTGAGATCCAGGATTCTAAAATTGTATGATGACATTTCAAGACTGGGATGTTTGACAGAAGTCATCCAAACCCAAGGATTCCTACAAACAATCCTCATATCCCCTGCAGACTCTGAATTGTATTTGGTGAAAAAGCATTTTCACCAACTAGTGACCTAATCTGAAACCTAACTATGAAGTCAGGAAGCAAAGCTAGGAGATGGGCCCCTGGAAGACCAAGTATCAGAGTGTCCCAGTGCGAGGGCTACCTCTTTGAAGCAGTGTATTTTGGGGGTCTGCTTTAGTGGGGCCAGTAGTGACTGAGGTAACTCCACCATCTCAGAAAATCTGATGCCTCTTGTCTAGGTCAAAGGTATGTGTGTACTTTTATGATGACTTATATAGATGTTAAGATACTCCCTAGCCCAGGAGCATATTAAGCAGTCTTCTCACCATTGAATCTGATCCTAGCATATCACTGTGACACCTACATCTTTTGATAAGAATTAAGGGAAAGAAGAACATCAATTGAGGAGGGATAAATCAGCTCAACATTTGTATTAGTTAAGTATTAGCTGCTATAACAGATAAACCCCAAATATAGCTCAAGTGTGATATAAATGTACTTCTTACATATGTAAACCTAAGTCAGACATATTTGATCAGCCCATGGTTGTCTTCTGAGTGGTGACTTGGGAACCCAGACTACTTCCATCTTGTGGCTCAGCCGTATCTTCCAAGACTGTCATGCTTATCAAGAGGAACAGCCTTGGAGGACTTCACAGTGGGACTTTGTGGGCACTGGGAAATGCTGTGTGTGGTTTCTACTCACATTCCATTTGGCCAGCACTTGGTGAAGTCCACAGCCAGCCTCAGGGAAGGCTGGGAAATGGGGTTGGCCAGTAGACTCAGAAAAAAGAGGGAAAACAGGTTTGGTGAAGATCTGGTTCTCCATGGCCATGCCTCTGCAGTCTGTGTCCTTGTTCTAGGAGACTCGTGTATTTATTCAACAAGTATTTACTGAGCACTAATTCCAATATTGATGAAAGCCAAGCAGCACCCCAGGCAGACCTGTGGGTATCCTTAAGGAGCTAAAGAGGAAGCAGAATCCAAAACTAAACAAGCAAATAATTAGTAAGGGTAATTACAAATTGTGATAGTGGTGCTCTCTAAGAACTCTCAGAGGTCTGTGTGGCTTATATACAATGAGCAGGGGCTAGAGTCAAGCGAAAGAAACCTGGAGAGGTTAAGATGAGGCAGATCAAGTTCAGATCAAGGTCATGGACATTTGGATTTTATTCTTATGAGTTCTTGGTCGTTTCCAGCCGCCTTCCAGCTGAGAATAATGAAGGATGCAGGATTTACTGGACATCTTGGATCTTTCCTCCATGTCCAGATGAATATTAAAGTTTTATAGGTCTTATTTAGCACCTAGGGAAAAGGCAAAGAGCATTTGAAGGCAAAGGAATTAGAAGTTATCACTGATGGCTTTGCATGCGATAACCTTGCTTGACGCAAAAGGGCAGGAAGAGAAAATACTGAGCCTTACACCTGAAAGGGAGTCCAGTATTCTTCCTTACTTTTATTCAGAGCCTCCGTAACATGTAGACCCTTGTGGGCATCTTAAAATGACCCTTGTTGAGTCTGGCATCTCTGTAGGTAATTCAGAATCAGGCCATCTGGGAATTTAAAGAAGTCTTACAATGTCATCAATCCCAACCCCTACCCACTATCGGAAGCTTGTATTCCCTGCTATAGCATCACCCAAAGTGATCAGTGAGCTAAAATTAGAATACCTCCAAGAACGAAGAATTCACACTTTCCAACCCACCACCCCATTCCACCTTCCACCAGAGATGTTAGAATGTTCGTTCTTTCTTTGAATTAAAAACATGCCTCCCTGTAACATCCTCCTTTGGTTCCAGTTCTTCGCCCTAACAGGTTGTCTTCCTTGGGATATGTACAGTTTATGCAATTTTCTCAACATCTAGGCTGTCCATATGACTTCCTGTCTAAGCCATGGCTTTTGGGAGTGTTAGGAGATGGTAAGTGGGTACATGGCTGGGACACTGGGCATGCACTCGGACAATCTGGGCAGACCAGAATGTGTAGCCTCTCCATTCGAAAATCTGGCAGCTCTTGGCTCAGTGTCAGGGTGAGTGAAGCCTTTGACCCCGGCTCACCTCTGCTGACCTGAGGGTGCATCACAGCCCCTGCGAGAATCAGAGGTGGATGGTGGGGCTTGGCAGGCATGGGTCCCTATTAAAGGGGGTCTCGTCTCTTTTCCCAGGGACTTTGTGAAGGCTTTTATCCAGTTTAAGAAGCCCATCGTGGTGGCCATCAATGGGCCGGCCCTGGGCCTGGGCGCCTCCATCCTGCCCCTCTGTGACATCGTGTGGGCCAGTGAGAAGGCCTGGTTCCAGACACCGTATGCCACCATCCGCCTCACACCTGCTGGCTGCTCCTCCTACACCTTCCCTCAGATCCTGGGCGTTGCACTGGTAAGTCTCCTGCTTCTCAGGCGGCTTCCCTGTGTGATGCATGGGTTTGAGTCCTGGCAAGGCCCCTCCCCTTCATGGGGGTCTGTCTCAGCTTCCTCAGCCTCCCTGGAGGCCATGCTGGCTGTCACATCCGAAGGGAGTAACTGAGTCTAAGAAGATGAAGATGGTCTGTATTTATTGAACACATAGTGTGTGCCTGACGCTTAACTCCAAGCACTCTGTATAATGTCTCATTTATTCCTCACAACAGCCCATTAAGGGCATGTATTAGGGGTATGTTGTGCAGTGTCACAGACATTCTTCCACAGTCCATTGTAGGTTTAGGGGCTGCCCACGCTGACTAGGGACCCTGGTGTCCCCATCTAATAGAGTTGCCTTCACATCCAGCCAGTGGGTGAGACAAGGGAGCCTAGAGGGCCACCCAGAGGTCTCTGTAGGCCGGGCCTGCCGGGGCCATCTTCACTCCACTTACCCCCAGGCCAAGGGCGGTAACATTGGCTTGATTTTTTGTTGCTGAAATCTTGACTTTCCTGCCTGTGAACCTGCCTCTCACACGTGCTGACTGTCACTGATTCTGTCTTCTTATCTCAAGTTCCTTTCTGAAATCTTTGTTCGTTATCTTCAAGGTTTTCCTGCCCCAGGACTCACAATAGGGGTTGTTATTTGTTTGAGCAAAACTTGCAACTCCCTTGTAACAGCTTGTCCCCAGGAGAAGGGGAGTGAGCAGACCTGGTACCTTCCACTCCTCTAAACCAGAGACTCTGGGGCTCTGAAGTCCTAACTCCCACATAAATGGTCCCATCTGTTAAGAAAGGAAAAAACTGCCTTCATTCTGTTGCAGGGAATACCTGTAACTTCCTATTAACCCCAGAGGGCCTATGGTTGACCCCCATGTTGTCATCTTGCCCTTCCAGGACAGAGGTTGCTGCAAACTCTTTCCTTGACCCTCTCGCCCCTACACATCTCTAGCACCACACAGGTGGGGTCTCCTTGATCCTCCAATAGTTAATCTCTGTTAGTCTCCCACGAAGCCTTTAGGTGGGGCTTCTAAACCGAGTTGAGCTCCTTAGCATGGCTCAGTGTCCCTTTGTGGTCTGGCCTGTCTTATCCATCCAGGCTGCTGTAACAAAACCCCTTAAACTGGCTAACTTATAAACAGTAGAAATGTCCTGCTCACATTTCTGGAGGCTGAGAAGCGTGAGATCAAGGTACAGGCCTTGTCTGGTGAGGGCTTCAAAGGAGGTGCCTTCTCTCTGTAGCCTCTCCCAGGAGAACAGGGTGGATGGGGCCAGCGAGCTCCCTCAGCCTCTTTTATAAGGACATGACCTCCCCCCCTTCATGAGGATTCCACCCTCGTGACCTAATCACTTCCGAAAGGCCTGGCCCTTAATATGCTTGTGGGGGAAGGATTCAGTGTATGGACTTGGGGGTTCAGACATTTAGGCCTCTCCGTGGCCCTTCTTGCTACTTTTCCTGCTTGGTCTTTTACCTCAAGGTGAAGGTAAAGGTGAAGATTTTTCACCTTCATCATAGCCACTCCAGAGTGTCTGTGGTTCTCTGGACCCACTGTGCTTGTCTTTGCCTCTGAACCTTCTTCAGTTCTGTCCTCCAGGCCTGGCTGCCATCTTCTCTACCCTGGACCCCCTTTGCCAGGTAGCTCCAAGGCCTTATGAGCTCAGCTCAGGCACCACCTGCTTTCCTGACCCCAGTGGACTGAGCAGCCATTGTTCCCTAGATTCCTGGGGTTGTCTCCCTCGCCCAAGACTGAGGCTTTTGGGGTGGATCCCTTTGGATTTGGGGTTTACCTGGGACTTAGTGGGCTCCCACTGATACTGAGATTTGGCTCAGGGATGACTGCCTTCTTGATGCTTCCTGTTGTGTCTTTAACACTCTCCATTCTGAAGTACATCCTCTGTGTTGGGTTACACACCATGGCCTCATGCACACTCTGATATGGAGGGCGGCTCAGCTTGTCCTACCTGTGCCAGAGGACAAGGCACCTTCACACACAATGATCTCTTTCACCCTCTCAGCATCCTCAGAGCCACATCATACCCATTTTACAGATGAAGAAACTGAGGCCAGGGTGGGGTTCCTTCTTTCGGATGACAGGCTTCTTTGCACCCTCAGCATGTACAGGGCATCATCTTACCTGCTTGAATGCAAAGATGAGTAACATGCAGCCTTCACCCCCAGCAATCCTGTCTCTGAGCACATTACAGTTTGTGGCTGGCCTGGTGTTTGCGCCTCACTTTTGTTTCTTGTTGAGTCTTCAGAGTTGTCTAGGGGTGATCATTGGCACCCACTTTACAGAAGAATAAAGTACGTCTTGAGAGGTGAAGAGATTTGCTCAGGATCACAGGGCAAAGTAAACAGCAGAGGACAGTGTCTGATCTTAGAGGCAGGGCTTTCCCTACAGTGCTCCTGCAAAGACTTGCCTTCCCACCTGGGAGGTAGAGAGCTGCAGAAGTGCCTCCCTGATGTTGTTTTTGATGTGGTTCTGAGGGCCGAATAGATCTGGAGGGTGGCAGGGGAAAGGGCACCAAAGAGCAGCACCCAGTCCTGGGTATGGTGGGGGCGGGTTCAGTAAGGCTCCAAAGGGGGCACTCCCTGGTGGGTCTAGAAGGATGGGGGCCCCCTGTATCCCTCCTGTGTGGAGCTCATTGTTCTTTGATGGTTGTATGAAATAGGAGGAGCAAGAAGATTGCCACAGAGGCCACTGTCAGCCCCAAACCCGCTGGCATCACCTCTGTTCAGCAGGTGGGACAGACAAGGCTGTGTGGACACCCAGGGCTGCCCTGCCCACCAGTGGCAGGAAAACCAGGCAGGCAGGAGCTCAGCCCAGGAAGTAGGCACTTTCAGTCTGTACCATTGTGTCTGCCCAGACCCCTTCCAGTCCACTCCAGTTCCTCCCCATCTCTGTGGTCACCAAAAATGTTAAAATTATACAGTCTTCTGTCTTCTCTCTTGTTTTAATCATTTCTGAAACCCCCCAGAATGCTGCCGATGGAGACATGTCCGTGCTGATGGAGTCCCGCCTGGCTCCTTCCACCGGGCTGGTTCATTCCCCTAATGTTTCCCGAGACAGAGGTGTTTCTCGATAAGTGACATCCCTGTAACTACGAGCGTGCTGTGGACTCATCACTGACCTAATACTCTGGCAGGAAAGATTGTCCTCTGGGCTCCAGAGGTGGGGGGACATAGATCTGGGGGCCTTGAGGGTACTTGGCATTTCAAGACTGTCCCAAGAGAAGGCAGCACACAGGCAGGGAGGAGAAGGGGCAGGTGGAAGGCAGGCAGGGACATGCTGGCTGCCGTGTGGGGGATTCATCCTGGAGCAGGGTAAGGACCCCACCTTATGGATGTGACTGTTACACCCTAACTATCAGTTAGAGAAGGTCACCTCTCTAAGTTGTAGCTGCTCTGTCTATGCCTAGGACCTTACCTGTGCAGCTCCTCCCAGACCACACAGGACAGCTGCACATTTCAAAGGGAAATTCTTGGGGGAGTGGGTTGCCAGAAAATTCAGGTCATAAGAGCCCAAAGAAAGCAGCTTTCTGTCCTTCCCGACTGTGCACTCCTGTGCCTCGCCCTGAGCCATGGGGAGAGATGCCCCTCGCTGCTCTGAGGTTGTGATATTATTCAGGACCTGCAGTTGCCAGTGAAATAATTGAACTGGTTTAATGTTTGTTTTTTCTTAAATTTTTTTAAATAAGAACTTAATGGTCCCCTCAAATGGAAAGTCTAGAAGTAGAATTTCTCTTGGAGAGATGAAGCCCAGGTGTTCAAGCACCCTCACTTCTCTCTCTCTTTCCCTTGTGGACCCACCTTTTTGCAGAGTAGGGACACAGCTACCCATGTGGCCCCTGGGCTCCACTCACATTAACCTGCAAGCAGAGAGACAGATTCCTTCCCATGCATGCAGCTGAAAACCCGACAGAAGAGCTTTATTATTTAGGGTAGAGCATCTCGTCATCCACAGGCCTTTTGGTGTGGCTGGGTCACCAACACAAAAATATGCCCAGGCCAGGATGCTTGCCCACCGCATAGAAATGACACCACAAGTGGGGAGGAGTGTTGGGCAGACAAGAGCTGCAGTAAATACGTGGCTCCTTTGGAGAATTTGATGAAAGCTGTGGACCCCCCTGCTCAGCAGAATGCACAGAGAACCAGTGTTTTCACCCTGTTCCCGGAGCTTCTTCACCCGGGCTGAGTAAGAACCCTCTCTTCCTGAGCAGGTGCAGTGGCATGTGCCATGCCCAGGACAGGCCAACAGACACGGGCAGAGCTCTGCACCCTCAGCCCTCCCCTCCCTTTGCTTTTTCAGGCCAATGAGATGCTGTTCTGCGGGCGGAAGCTCACTGCCCAGGAGGCCTGCAGCAGGGGGCTGGTGTCCCAGGTCTTCTGGCCTACCACGTTCAGCCAGGAGGTCATGCTGCGGGTCAAGGAGATGGCATCCTGCAGTGCTGTGGTGAGTTCCAGCGCCTCCCCTGCTGCTGGCTTATCCTTATCCCAGGCCCATTTTATGGATGGGAATGGCAGGGCTCAGCGGGACTAATTGACCTGTCCGAGGTCACGCAGGGAACAGGCAAAGGCCCTCTGCACTTTAGCACACACCTCTTCTGTGTATAGACAGCTTAAGTCACAGGGAGGCGGGGATCCCCACTGGTGGCGCATTCTCCATCCTGCCCAGGTGGAGGAACCTCATAGGAGAGGTTGGTACCTTGGGGCAGAATCACTGCTTTTGAAGTAAGTTTCCTAAATGCATGCAGAAAGAAGCACAAATCATCTCTAGTGCTCCGAGAGAGGACGGAAGGGTTGACCCGGCCCAGGGACGATGGGAGGAAGCAAGCATGCCGGCCCTGCCCATCATTTCTCCTCCCCATCAAGTTTTGGCACCTGTAAACATTAGCGTGTGGCTCTTTAGACACACTGAAAATAGATAAATAAGTAACACCTCCACGGAGGCACTGGGTTTTAATTAGGGTTGATTTTATCTCCTAATGGTGGCCCTAAGCACAACAGGGAAATACCCTGTGGACAGGCAGGGAGACGGCCATTTGCTGCTGGAGCCACAGAGCCAGTCCCAGGGCTCTGAGAGGTGCTTTGGGAGAAGGCCTCGCATGTGCTGTGTGTTCAAGAAACAGGAGCAGTGGCCAGATCCTCGGCTGGCTCTCCCCTCTTAACCTTCCCTCTGCCAGGCCCAGCCAGCCCTCGTGATACTCCCATGTGGGCCCTCAACTTCTTAGGGGCTCTGGCTGCTCCCCAGAAGCAGGGCAGTGAGGGTCCTGCCTTGTCAAAGAGCAGGCACGGGCTTTGCTCCTCTCATGCTTTTTGATCTTCCTAATGTCTGGGAGGACCAATTTGTCTCCCTTTAGCTGGGACTGTCCTGGTTTTAGTGCTGAGAACCTGTACCCCAGGAAGCCCCACAGTTCTGGGCAAATGGGCCAGCTGCATGGAGAGGCAGGTAGAAATTCTAAGCAGAGCAAACAGCAAGAGTAAGTGCAGAAGCCAGAAGGTACAGGGAGCATCAGCCACACCAGGGGATGCCAGGGGTGGTGTGGCTGAGAAGAAAGCTGCCTGCCTGCTTAGGTGGGAGTCTGTGGCCTCAAGGCCACATGAGGCCCTCCAGATCCCCTGGCCACCCCACAACTCAACCTAAACTCCATGGAACAAATCCCTTTATTACAAGGATTTGTTCTGTAAAAACTGGATTCAGTCAAAAGGATGCACTCAAGGATCCAGAAGGCCATATGTGGCCCCAAGGCCGCATGTTCCCTACCCCTATATGGCACATGAAACCTAAGGGGAGCAGGCTCTTAAGACAAGAAGTACTCCAAGGAGGGCTGTACTGTCCACAGTTAGCAATTCAGTTTGGGGGTTGGGGGGGTTCCTAAGAAAAGAATCTACCCAGCAGAGAGACACCCATGACATCTGGAGCCACTGCTCTAAGGAGACATTCCCAGGGACAGTGTGGCAGTCGCCTGGTCCTGGCAGCCCACTCCCACCACTCTGTACCCCAGCCCACGTGGGAGGTTAGCTGCCACCCATGCCAGGCTGCTGGAGCCAGGGAGCTGTCATGTTCTCTCTCTCTCTGAGAGCATTTTGGGAGAGGCTGGTGGAGGCCAGCAAAGGAGGCTCGAAGGCCTCAATTCTGGCAGAACCTCTGCCAGGGAGAATCAGCCAGACCTAGGTTTCCCTGCTACACCACCAGGTAGTCCGGCAGCCCTGGGCCTCGTATGTCACTGAGCTCCGGGTTCTCCATGTGCAATGCGGGGATGAAAACATTACCTACTGGCAGAGGTGCCATGGGCAGGAAAGGAAAGAATTCACAGATTGCCATGGAACCTGCTGGTTAATGGTGATTGTAGCAGAATTATTATTATTACTTCAGTTACTATTACTATGATCACAATTAACTGTTATTACTATAACTGTCGCTCATCACTGATTATTACTGTGAGTATTGCTCATTACTACAGTTATTATTCCTCATTGCTGTGATTATTACTATTATTACTATGAGTACGACTCATGTTTCTTATTTCTCATTACTGTGATGATATTATTACTATTATTACTACGAGTATTGCTCATTACTATGGTTATTATTCCTCACTACTGTGATTATTACTGTTATTACTATGAGTATGGCTCATTCATGTTTCTTATTTCTCATTACTATGATGATATTATTACTCCTATGAGTGTTGCTTATTACTATGGTTATTCACATGATTACTACGATTATTGCTCATTGCTATGATAATTATTACTACGATTGCTGTGACTGTTAGTCACCACTGTGATTACTGTGCCTGGATTGCTGTGGTTACTACTGTAATTCTTGTTAGTGTGATCACAGCAGCCATTCCTCGTAACTACCATGATTGCTGCCAGTACGGGCTGACAAGGAGCGTCGCTGTTGGGCTACGTCCCGTGGGGTCTTTGACAGCCGTTAGTTCTCTTTGTCATCTCATTCTGTGTCCCCAGCGATCCTTGACAGATAATGGAAATGAGGTACAAAGAAGTTAAAGCTGTGTTTCCCAATTTTTTTGATGGCATCTACAGATAAGGGACACTGCGTGTATGTCACCCTTGGGTGAGAGACAAGGCTGTGTTCTGGGGTAACATGGGCCACACCCAGCTCTCCCAGGGACCACGGGCTCAACGTGCCGACATAGCCAGAGTGCTGCATGACTGTGCTAGAAGCATGGCACTAGGAAGGCCCAGGCTAAGGAGGTAGCCTTGTGTGGCTGTGCACATCGGAAGAATGGCCGGTGCCTCGTAGCTCTGGAGACAAGTCACTGTGCCCCACTGACCCGGCTTGTCATTTCCCTCAGGTGTTGGAAGAATCCAAATGCCTGGTTCGGAGCTTCTTGAAGTCGGTGCTTGAGGATGTGAACGAGAAGGAATGCCTCATGCTCAAGCAGCTCTGGAGCTCCTCCAAGGGCCTGGATTCCCTGTTCAGCTACCTGCAGGACAAAATTTACGAAGTCTGAAGGGCCTTGGCTCCTCCGCCCCAGTGCCCACGAGCACCTGACTTCCAGCTCTGCCCTGTGTTTTGGAAATCGGAGCATGTGTCTGCCCCGGCCAAGGAGTTTGTCAAGGTGTCTTTATGCCTAGGGTTGTGTCCATTTTCTCGTTCCTTTGGTTCCTTCTCATCGGTTTGATTTTCTGTGTAACAGATGGGAAACGCAGCAGACTTGGCCTCCCCCGTCCCTGCCCCACCTGGCCAGAGAGCTCACGAGGGCTGTATCTTCCCAGGGCTCTGCCGGGCACCGCTGTCCTTGCCCCACTTGCTGAAATACACCGTCATGGTCCAGGGAGGGGAAGGCCACTTCCCCCCTCCTCCTGGCTCAGGCTGTGTCTACACAGTGCCTCTGATTCGGAGACGTGGCTGTCATGGCTTTTTCTGGTGACGTTTAGATCAGGTGTCAGGGGACGGTCAGTCTTAGGGAATTTCCAGGCCAATGAACAAAACGGTGGTGTCCGCCCAGCTTCAGTCTCCTCTCTGATGCAAACCTGCGTGACCCTTAGGGCTTGGTCTTAAAAACCCAATTCGAGTGATTTACAAACCCAGATATTGTACATTTAGAAATGTTTTGTTAAATATATATTTTTAAAACAATGTAAGTGGAAATTCTGATAATTTATGTGTACTATATGTAAAGCTAGTTTTGCAAAAAAATAGTGAACTACTAGGAAATGTGTCTTTTCTTTAATCAGATTTATTTTATTTATTTATTTTTGTTTATATATTGTGATATCTGTTGTTTGCACAGATTAACTATTTTCATACTGCCCTGGACCAAATCCCGTACAAGGTTCACGTTGCCTGGTGCATCCTGGCAGTGAACCACCTAGAAGTCAAATTCAGGGAGATGAGACGGATGGATTTCTGTGGATGAAAGGAATAGCTCTCCACCAAATCCTCTGTGTGTAGAATGGTTCTCAGCTGTAATGATACAAGTTCTTTAGGCTTTATCCTTAGGGGACATCACCAGAGAGTTTTCTCTTCACTCTTGTCGTCTTGAAGGCGATAAAAGCCTTCTCAGCCTGAATGGTCCTGAAACAGACCCTGTCCCTAATTATGGGACCGTCAGGAATGGATGGGGCGTAGGCCCTACCTGGGGATAGTATACTGTCTAGAGGAAGGCTTTCCTTTGAGACAAATGACAGCACTCAGATTTAAGGGTTCATTTCTTCCACGTGGTTGGCAGTTTCTGGTTTTGGCCTTCCATCGGGGTGAGCAGACTCTGCTCTGCTGAGCTGTCTGCAGAGGGTCTGGAAGCCTGAATGACCCATATATTTTCTAGTTGTTTACCCACAGGAAGGAGCAGTGACCAGAGGGGACATTTCCTTCCCCTGGTGCCTCTGGGCTGCAGCTCTTTAGACGGTCAGTCTCAAGTCCTCGGATCAGCTTCAGACAGCCAAGGGGTTTGGCTGTGGTTTTGGTTTGAGGAGAAAAGGAGACGTGTCAAGGCTAGAACAGAAATGGAAGGGGCATGTCCCGTTTGAGGCTCAAGCCCGTTGCGGGTCCAGCACCCGGAGATTCCTGCAACAGTGGACTTATCCACTTCTAGCACAACCTCCGAGTATTCCCAGAAACTCCTTGCTCTCCTGGTCTTCTCGTTTCCTGTTAGGTGTCAGCCTCCCTTGGCCCTTCCTCAGAGAGAGAGTGGAGTGAGGCAGCAAGGGATGGGCACCGCTGGAGACAGGGTGGGCTGGGAGGAGGGCCCATCATAGTTACAGCTCTCTCTCTCTCTCTCTGGTCTTTTATCTTCTTCTGCAGGTGGCCAGGTGCACCAGGCGCAGGGCAGGTGGAGAGAATTCCTAGCCCTGAGCTTTGAGTTTGAAAGAATGGGTTGAATATTGACACTGGAGCTCCTTTTGCCCAAAATGCTTAGACAAACTTTGGTCCTGTGTGTGGCAGATACTCTGCTGTTAAATCCTCCATAGAAAGAGCCCCTTTTTCTCTTGAGCCTCTGGTTGGGGACAGTTCTGTTCGACATCTGCAGCAGTGGGGTCAGGATTCTAGCTGGAGAGGGAAGGGGATGTTTAGGAACTCCTTTTGATCGGTGTTCACCTTTGCTCCTGGCCAAAAGAACCAGAAATATTTTAGCTTTGGACGCATCATCAAATGTAAACCTCTGACCATTTCAAAGATATCTGATGTTTAAGTTAGGAATGTGAAGCCATTTCTGAGGCGGGATTCATGCCATTAATGTGTAAGTTCTGGGCATAACGGGGGGCATTTTAAAAGATAGTCTGTGTTTTGATTATGTGCATAAAGTCAGTTCAATAAGGGCATCCCACCACTTGGGGAAAAGCAAGTGAAATCTCTTTGCTACAGGGTAGACTGAACCACCTAATTTTCCACTTTCTGGGTAGTTGTTCTGACGATGTATAGATGAAGTCCAGCTAACTCACAGCACACCCACATGGGATGGAAAAAAACCAAACGGCCGTGGTCGTATCAAGGTTGATCCCATAGCTTCTCGAGGATAAGGCTGAGACTTTCCCTTCGGTACACTCTTCTCTACCCTGATTTATTCCCACCCTGTATATCACTCTCAGAGCCTGGGAAGGTCTTTGAGGAATTGTGGCTGGTCTTGGCAACCCCAATCCCAGAATTACCTCTGGGTTCAGACAGTTCCGGGTGGGAAATCGAGGGCACCTCTTTAATCAGGACCCTGCTGGCAGTCTCCTCCCATCCTCTTAGCCATGCATGAGAACTCTCTTTCCCTTTCTGCCTCAACTCCTAAGGATGCTTCACTGCCAGTATCTTTACTGAAACTGTCAGAGCTAACAGCTCTGCTCTGAGAGAACTTTTTGCAGAACTTCTGTTAAGGTGGTCAGGCCTCCTGGCCATTTGGAAACCACAGCCTAATTAATAATACACTCAACATGTCCCTCTCAGCATAGAAATAATGTCTGAGGGTAAAAACTGTTCAAATGACTCGCTCAGAATGAAACCGGATAACTATGAGACAGTAGTTGAAAATCGCTTTACAATGTTACTCTTGTTTGGATATAGATGAAACTAGGAACTGTTCTCTCTGAAGCATGAAACTCTGTTCTTCCCCTAGGAAGTTTAGTCCGAGAATGGGGGATTAATAATCACAATAGACTTTGAACAATGCAACTGTACTTCTGAATATCCACATTTAAAAATAGCCTCGACTGAATGCTGAATTGCATTTCCCATTATTAATTGTCGATTTAAAAAATTTTGTAGACTTTTTTTTTTATTTGGAATTCAGTCACATCCATGAAATTTTCCAATCTCATTTCGGTGGGGAATTTTTTAACAAACAAGAAACAAAACAGAAATGTCTTCAAATCTTCCTAAGTGAGTATTTAAAATGCAGAATTGCTTCTCTTTTGTGCTTTCTGTATTCTGATACTTAGATCCGTTGTATATATTCATCTAGACACACTTACTAATATACACAGTATTTAAGACTCTAAATGAGATTTCTTAAGTATTTTGTTTTATTCTCTGTAAATGGTTTTGTATAATCTTTAAGAATCTATACTTTGCCTTTGTAGATATTTAAGGGAAACTATTTGGGGATGTCTTGCATGTATATTTTTGTTGTAGATAAGTGTTGCTTAGTTATTTCTTCAGATTTCGGTTGAAATGCTTACAGACTTTAATACAGTATATATTTTCAGAATATAAACTTTTATATTTCTGTGATAAGTTAGGATACGCGTTTTAGGCAATCTTTTCCATTCACATCACTTGTTGTTTCCAAAAATAGCATACTAGTTTGGTGCCAATTTTTTTTTTCTTCATTAGAATCTAATGCTCTTATCTTGTTAGAGAGCAGGTCGATTTTCTTTTTCTTGAAGTCACTGAGTTTGAAGTATAATTTGAAAATGTACTGAGTTTGTGAATAAGCCTTACCATTAGAATCAGTAAATTGTCCAAACTTGGCAACTACACAACTACCTGTGTAGTTTAAGATCTACCCATAAATTCTCACTGTGTGGCAGTTGGTGGAGTTTGTGAACAGAGCCTTAAGCTTGTTGCAAAAAAAAAAAAAGGGTAATACGGGTTGTTTCCTCGGTGCAGTGTAAGCCATGTTGACGGACGCAATGCAGTCTGTAATTCATGGCTAACCTGAAGAGGTCGGTTGGGTTGATGGTGGCAGGGACCAGATACACATCTTGGTGATTGTCTTTGGCCCTAGGAATGGACCAAGGACAGGTTTTCTGGAGCCACCTTCATACTCGTCACATGGTTTAGACAGTCATAGGGAAGGCTGCTGGTCCATCATTTGTTTTGAACAGATGGCATTTCCCGCTCCTGCCCCTGGGCAGCTGGCCCCAGGTTCCTTGTTGACTTGGAAATTTCCAGTCTGGCTGGGGTCAGCGCTCCTTGAGAGATGCTAACAAAGTTTACAGACACGTCTTACAGTGTAGACAATCTGAAGTCGATTTTAGTTACACCATCGGCATTCCCATGTGTCCCCAGGGTCTCAACACTGAGCCATACTGAACTGGAGTTTAGTAGGGCCAAGGAAAAGTAGAAGCGGGGCGCACATATCAGCTGAGTCAGTCTACCCGGAGCTGTTTTAATAGAGCATAAGTCATGGAGTTCATCTGCCCTGGACCCACTGTGTCTGGGATCTGATAAAACCAACTAGAATTTAGATTGAAATTTTATAAATTATGATTCCTTTCAGTTCATGCTTCAGTAGTCCAGGGCTATAGTATGGCTAAAGTCAAGTTATTTGGTCCATCCCTAGTAAGTGTGTATAAAGTCAGCTCATCCGCCCCGAGGATGGATATCAGCTTCACGCTTTTGCCGCATGTATGACGGTCAGAAAATCCTTATCTAGTTAGAGCTGCAGCTCCGCTGGGTTGACCTTACCTCACTGACCCAACATCTGGCCTGTTCTTGGAGCTCATTAAGGTGACCCTGGGAAGTTTAGAAGGTGTAGAATTTTCTATCTCATATTTAACTTGTCCCTGTGCCACTAGCCCCGGCTTGAAGTCCTTTGCCATGTCTATGTGTTGACAGGATTGTGACAATATTGCCTTTCATAAAACCAAGGACCAAAGAATTCCATTATTCCAACGAAGCTTGAGTTTCATAGACTGTGGGCATGTCTAGACAGAGATGTGCGTGCTGGACGGTGCAGAGAAACTGCTCACTTCCACCAGCCTCATGCTCCCCCTGGCTGGCCATATGGAGGGATTAGTAGCTGTCCCATTGAGAAGGCTCTGAATGATGCATTTCTTGGTTGAAACTCACTATCTCAGGTGGATGTTCCTGCTGTGTAGCCCAAGCCTTTAGCTGTGTCATAAAAAGGGGAGGTCTGGCATTCCTCTAGGTTATCTGCCCAATGTAGACCCTTCCATCTGAATACGAACCTCCAGCATATTTTTTCAGATACATCTATACAGAACAGCAGAATCCTGCAATTGCCAAATTCCTGCCTCCTATTGTTCTACTCCATCAACCCATTCCAACTCCTGTTGGGTATGAGAAGCATTTTCTTCAACCCTCATACAGGGTGATGCTCCATTCTCATTCGTGATGAAATCATCCATCCTTTAACCAGTGGAGAAATGGCTGATGCTGAAAAAGTGGCGTTCTAGTGGGTAAGGCTTA